CCTCCCCCCCCCCAAGCAGTGGAGCTCCACCCTGCACAGAAATGTTTAAATGATTATTTATGCATAGAGTACAAGTAAAAATGAACTTTTACCAAACTTCTCGTTCGCTCAGGCTCCCTTCACGCTATACCCTGGCAGCTTCTTCTTTAGGGGCTCCCACAGTCATGAGCACGCTGATGTCATCAAGTACAATGCAGGGCCAATAGCCTTGCAGGAAATCACAGAGAGCCGGCCTTATTTCCAGCCTTGAGGTCATCCAGCATCATCTAGCGCTTTCCTGCCCAACCTTTACTATTCCTGGCCCGCCCCTTTCATTCATTGGATTTCAGTTTTTTCAGCATCGCATGTGGGCGTTACCTTGGGTACCGTATTTTGCTCTCCATAAGGTGCACCGGACCATAGGACGCAGGCAGGTTCTGTGACAGTTTCTGCAGTTAGTGACCGCTGAGACAGGTGGTGCTGTGACTACAGCGCCATGGTTTTAGTGTTCACACAGAGCAGACGGAGAACTAACGTTCTTCGTCTGCTCTAGGTGCTCTATGGTGAGCTCCTGTCCCGTGGTCATGTGTCCCCCAGAGGAGCGGGGGACCCGAAAACCACAGCTGGATAGATCACTTGTATTAAACGAGCAGCGGCTCCCACTGTACATTTAGCGCTGCTTTAGCAGCGCTAAATGTACAGAAAACTACCCGCCCGGCGCCTGAAACTGCATGTTCCGGGCGTCGGGCAATAGGGATTCGCTCCATAAGACGCACACACATTTTCCCCCGACTTTTGGGAGGAAAAAAGTGTGTCTCATGGAGTGAAAAATACGGTAGTCTGCTGTATGTAAATGCCTGGGAATGACTATTCCTCCAGACTCACACCCACCCATAAAGTCAATTCGATATTTACATATCTTCCCCCAACAGCCAGCTCACTGCATGCATCAGGACTGAGGACTTTTGAGAGGTGTACTAAAGCAGGATAATGTGATGTTTTCAGGAAGCTATATACTACATCCTGCTGGCTCCTCCCACCAGCCATGATCTGCCTGCATTGGACAGAGACCCAGTGATAACATCACTGGGTCTAAAATAAGGTGTGTCATGAAAATGGAAAGGTTTTTAAAATATTTCATTAGCAGGGACGCGTGTCCTGCCCAGCTCACTGACTTCACTGGTTGGCAGGAGCTGGGCAGGGCCCCAGCCAGAGCATCCCTCTCAGCTCCTGGCAACCAGTCCTGGAGTTCTTCTTTAATGAGCCACTTCATGACACCACATGTATGTGAGCTCCACACACACACTGCTCAGGTATGGGTTGCACTTGCCGACCCCCATGATTATAATTATATTTGGCATCAAGAGTGAAAACTAGTCTCACGCTTCCTTAGAGCACTGTAAGAGGGACGATATGGATGTGACTGCTTGCTATAGGCAGTAGAGGATGTCATTTCCCCCCCGAGAGATACTGACAAATGCAGTCCAATTCTTCTGGACATTTTTGTTGACCTGCAGCTTATCAGTCTAAAATATAATAATAATACTATTGTCTAATTCAATGCTGTGGTGGATGGAGACCCTGGGCAGCTTTTCAGGATACCGATGCCTACCACCAGGCCATGATCACGACACCTTCCTAAGTCCAAGCGGGGACCGAAATACTGCGCTCTAGACACCTAACCTTGCTACTCCCCCCCCGCCCCCCCTGGCTCTCCTACCCTTAGCTCTCTCCCCCTTGCCTTTCCCTATCTACCCTTTCCCTCTACCCTACACTGTCCCCCCAGCCTGACTTATCTTCATTGATACCATATACAAGCAAACACCTGATGCACGAATCACGGAATGATTGAACCTGCCAACTAATCTAGGTTTGCTTACCAATGCCAATTGTCCTCATACCTATGGCCGCGTTAAGCCCATACTAGCCTGACACTCTATTGCCTGAGCTCTGACATTATTGAACATACTGTTCGTCTGTTCTTTTTCCGGCTAATGTTGTACTGTGGCACGCGCGGCTATCAGGGCCGTATAACATCTGCTCTGTTGGGCCCAATATCCCTTTTATGTTTTCGTTACGCGCAATGTGACAATTGTACATCCCTACCCCAAATGCATGTTGAAACTGCTGTCATGCTGTTGATACGTTGTCTCCTAATATTGTTGTATCATTTTTATGTACAATAAAGTTGATTCTTGATTTAAAAAAAAAAATTTTTTATTAAAACATTTTTTTTTTTTTTTTTTCATAAAAAGTATACCACCTGAAAATACTTCAATCCAATGAGCTCAGTGGTGAAAGAGTGGAGTTCTCTTTTAACCTACCTTTAGAAATGGGTTTTAGAGCTGGATATTTCTTTAGGTTGGGTTTCTGGAATAGGTGCTCGAAGAGATTTTGTAATGGGAAGCTTTTTTCTTCTATGCAGCATAGACATTGATATACACATCGACTGACAGACCTCGCATCTGCCTGCAGCTCCTAGATGACAGATCAGCTTGTAAAACACATCAGCTTGACAGATATATAACCATATCAGGGTGTGTCA